GTAGCCGTTTCATGAAGTTACAGATGTGATCGCGCAGCGACAAGGATAATATATCAATTAAATTCCGATGCGGACGAAGGAATCCGGAATGGCCATCCTTGACGGATAAGTAGCCTTTGTTCAACCCAAATGCACACCCGCCCGGTAGGGCTTGTAAAACGTTCAAGGACGCCTTGGTCACCGAGTACTGATTAGTATACTACCATAGGGTAACTTTGCGAGGGCTTTACTGATCTGGCTAATACTTGAAGTGCGTTTCATGAATGCCTCTGTCCGGGAAATCAATACCGCCGATTAACAACAACAGGACTGCGAGCCTTTGGCTAAATTATAGGCCGTTTGTCTTGATGTCGAATGATCTGGTCGTCAGGCCGATGATAGGCTGAAAAATCAAAAGAGTCCATTTCTGGTTATCTCGTTCTTGATAGTTCGCTTACTATCGTTTATGATGTGCTTTGCGCTGATGCTTTGAAATGGCAACGGTATATGGAAGGCCCCCAAGAAAAGCACGACCAGCCCCAGGCGCCCGTCTCACGGGAAAAGTGATAATGGGCGTTCTACGGATGGGGCCTTTGAATGGGTAGTAAGCAGGCTTTTTAAATGAAGGTAATTTTTTTGTTCGCCCTTTGAGCCGAAAACGTTTATTGCATTGACATATAGTAAGCAAAAGAAGCGAGACAACTGAAAAATTTGTTTTTAGTTGTGGTCGTAGCACTGTGACACCCCAGCAGAACTGACGGACAGAAATCCTTCTGCTTTAATCGTGATCACTCATTTGTAGATCGATCGTGCGGCCCGATCACGCGTGGACCATCAGCAATGGCCGTCAATCTGATAAGTCCAACCTTCAGCATTTTTCTCCCTATCTGTTTCGTTGTACATTAGAACTTATCTTCTTTTACAGTTTTGTTTCTTCTCGCAGTTTTCCACACCCGTGTCTTGCGTGTATCCCTGTACCCACCCAGTTTCTAACATTTTCGTTCCTACTCTTTTTCTATCCTTTGTTATCGCTTGTTTTTGACAACCTGGTTATAACATTAACGCCTAATTATACGTTGCCTCTCGCATTCAATAAACTGCTTGCATTTTCTATCCGTCGTTTAATACTCACCACTTACTTGTACGTCTGCATGCAAATGCCTATGTAATGGATACTTTAGGTACGAACGCTCAAAAGTCGGAGTCTTTGACCAAGAAACGGAAGCTATACTCAGACTCAAGTGCTCCCCAATCTGTTCCCTTCCCTAGTACGCAGAACATTATAGCACAAACCAATCTCAGGTGCCCGCCAATCGATTGTTTATGGCAAGATAGGTGTCCAAGGCAAGCGCAACCAATGAGAATGCAATCATGTTAGTAAGCTAGCTGCCTCTACCGAAATTTAGTTTACAAGTCCGTCATGTACCTGAATCCGAACCTAATTTTGTCTGCGCAATCTGTCACTTGAAACGGAAATCCTAACAAGTAAGTTATGCGTAAACCAACGCGATTGGGGTTTTATGCAACTCTTGAAACATAATTCAGGAAGTACAAATTCCATACGATAGTGAAAAATTGCTCACGACATATGCAACGTGTTTTTTATTTTAGAGTTTGTCGTAAATAGACCATTATTTTCTTAATATTGCAGATCATTGGAAGCGGCAGCCGAAGGAAGTGCTCATACTCCGGCAGATCTTCGAAGTAAGACGGAAAAAAGCTTGGACGAACTAAATTCGGAGAAGGTAGTCGAGTACTGGCAGAAGAGGGGCCTGCTTCCGACAAAATTATTATGCAACTGAAAAAGTCAAATGAAACACCATATCGGGAGGCGACATTCGTGTAGATATGTTTTTCGCTGCATCAGATGACTAAAGAGAAGGTAATTGAGAGCTGGTTCAATATTTGAGAACGACCGGCTGGCGTTGGGTACAATTATGAAGATTTAGCTAATTTTTCTAAAATGAGTAAGAGTAACGGCTTATGAGAAGGATGTCAGTGTCGCGCATTTGACGGCGGTGGAGTAGTACGCGCTGTGTAGGAATGTATGCACTGCGGCTCTTATGAAGCAAACGAAACGGACTGGCGGACCGGGAATTGAGGTCCAAGTCGATAAAACGTTAATAAGCCGATGTAAATATCACGTCGGTAGACGCAGAAGGCAATGGTGGCTTGTGGGAATGTACGATAGGGGGCGGTGAAAGGCAGTGTTCGAGCAGGTCAACGACAGAAGCTGGCCGGTTCTACGCGCCGTCATTACCAAATGGATAGCAAACGACTGCGTCGTCGCGACGGATAAGTGGAACACCTACAGTCACCTCCCGTCGGAGGGATATGTTCATTATACCATAAATCAGTCCAAGCGCTTCAAAGTGCCGACGGCTGGAAGGAACACAAATGCAATAGAGGCATATTGAAGTCGATTGAAAAGGAAGCTGCATGAAGGAGGCCCCGTTTTCGGTCGAGCCATTTGGGCTCGTATAGACGAAGTAAAATATCGCCTCTGGTTTGTCCTCAATGCCGTCAGACTGAGGGAAGCGTGGGAGGTATTCTTGTCTCACGCTGCGGAGGCCTACTTAGTGTAAATGGAACTTATTCTGGAAGAAGCTGACAATGTTGTAAGTTAATTGTCGTACAAAAACTTTTCGCAATCCAAACTGCCTTGGTTTTCCTTATACTTTTGGACCGCAGCTTAGTGCTCGTTTAGCCGTCTGCCTTTATTATCATGACAACTCCGGATTTCTACCTGTGTGCTTGAACTACTAACCAAAGAGCTATCCGGTAGCATATTGTTCTATTCGTTTTAATTTTGCATAAGAAGTGCGAATCGCAAGTCCATGAATGCAAGGAAAACTTTAATTGTTAAATACTTGTCCTACTCCAGAAATATGTCCAGTACCATGATAACCATAAAATCAGAACCTCATGGACCAAATCAAGTCATCAGTTTCCCCAAAATCCTGTAAAACAAGCATGAAAAAAAATGCAAATTGTTATAACCTTTTAGAAAACGTAGAAAGTATTATCGGGCATAATGCATCAATACACATTCGCTTGAGTAATACAAATTTTTCAAAATAAAAATGTGCTTTCAGGCCACACTGGTCTCAACCACTTCCTCGACTACATTTCCTGTGTGTATGACCCATGGTTAATTTTAAAGTTTCCTTCGATTCTTACTATGGATAAAGCAAGCTTCGGCTAATGCTGTCCGTAGAGCGGAAACATGCTGGATGGGGTAGATTGATGCTTCGAAAAATGCGAACATTTAACTACTTCCTTTGGACCCTAAATATAACTTAATAAGATTTTGCAGGGTGACAAACCAAAAGTTAAAGCTAGTCACACTCATGTGAATAAGTTAAATTCTTCTGTCGGTTCGTTTTCACAAGCTTGCAGAATACACACTCCGAAAGCTGATGGTTGCATTTATGATGAAGCAAGCAATACATTTTCTTCCCAAAATAGGACACGAATGCTTAAGTTGGTGCTGACATCGCAATCTTCTGCACTCCTGGTAACCGCATGTCCAGGTTTGCCGAATAAGTTGGAATCAGAACCGAATTCTGGAAAAGAATTTGACGGTTTTACCAGATTAATTTAGGATTTTTTACTGCAAAAAAACTTTGCACACTTCTTATGGAAAGGTTTAACGTTGCAGGTTCGTATTAACATCTTACAGTTTTGGTAAATCGCAACCAGGAAAATTCGACAATAGGAGATGTATTTGTCGATTAGAGGTTGCTTTGCTGATTTATTATCAGTAATAAGTTCACTTCCACACAGACTTTAGAATGAGTTATGCTCATGATGTGTTATTGCGTTACATTGGATATGCCTTCAGTGATAATTCTTATCACAGCCGAGGACTGCTTAGATGAATCCCAGTGTGAGAAAAGCAAATGGTCGCCTGTCAAAGCAAGGGTATAGTTTAGTTTTTAAGGATTTTTCGAATTCCCGATTAATTTAAACCCACCCTGACGTTAACACTTGCAGTCAGGGTTTCCAAACTGCAGGCCGTATATTTTGCGCATATGGAAAACCATGCATTTCTCTAGGGTATAAAGAGGATACCAAATGGGATTTGAGCCATATTGTTTACTTTACAAACCTCTTTGTTAAATGCAGGGACATGACGTTTTAGTAACGGCCATTTCACGGTGTAAATAATTTTCAAATAAGAAACTATTTTAAAACCGAAATATACCTTTGCTTCGAGTATAAAATTATAAGTAAACGTTATTTTCTACCGAAAGGGCAAAGGAATGAATATTTTTCTGCATTTGTCCCATGAAATACAATTACATTTTTAAAGACATCGACAATTAATGGGAAAAATGCATGCTAATTAATAAGTCAGTTGTTTACAGAGTGCGGTTTTTCTATGAGGCCGAAAAGAAGTTCGTACGAAAGCTGGCATCCTCAGGTAAATGAATTGTTAAAGAATTATGTTGCGGGGTTGTTAGTTTTACAACCCCAATTTAATAAACTTTTCGAAACGAAAACGCGTTTCGAAGTTTCGGTTGACATTTCATGAGTTAACCCATCAACAGTAGATTTCGGACGTATAAAGGGTTTTGGTTGCAGGAACTGTTAATGCCAGACTTACTGGTACTGCCATCGCATTTATTCATGTACTGCAAAAGACTGTATGAATTGTCTTCAGTTCCCGGTTTTTGATAGTGGTAAAATGTTTGGCATCGTCTTTGAGAATCGCACATGTAGGCCACTGCTAATACTGTCTTTTCGACTGAAAGAGAAGAAACGGCTGTGATGGTATCTCTAGTTTTGTAAGGAAATTAGAAGGCAAAAACAATCACATATCCTGACGCACGGTTTTTCCACCCGCTGCAGTCATGCCAACATTTCTTGAAGCGGTCGAATTGAGTCTGCCAGAGAGAGTATCCGCTGCAATCCATGGCTGTACACCCGCATATTCTTGCATAACCGGCGTCTTCTTGTTTAACTAAGGGGTAAAATGTGCAGATGCGAAATATACAAAAAAACCATGCTGGTCCTCACTAGTCAAAGCAGTCTGTCTTACTGGAGTTCACAAGTTCGCATGCCAGTACGCACTTGACGTGTCTGGCAAAACTTTCGGCATGTCCATCACGTCCAGTTATCTGGTACTTCTTGCAGCTTTTATACTCGTCATCAGGACAGTTGAAGGCTGTGAGGATCTTCGTATTGGAGGCTTAAGACAGTAAAAGTGAAACGCTGTGTGAACGGAAATCTCTGTAGGCAATTGCAAAGTCGCAAGTACTAAAGCGCACGAAACTCAAATAACTTAATCATACCTGGTCCTGTGGCACAAGCTTCTCGACACGCAGTGCCATTTGACTTATCTATCGCCGCGTAACGTACTGTGGTGCATTCGCTTCTGGGTTTCAAGCAAATCTTGTAGTATCCGTACGGCTCATCCTTGTCTGGAATTCAAATAAGAATGGTTAAGTGTGGATTATCGTCGGTCCTATTGTAGGGCTTATAGAGCTGAGCAGCACCTAGGTCGACTGTTGAATGACCGGCATTGTTGGTTGGCATTTGACCATGAACCAAGTAGGGAAGTAAAAACGGTATTTCTTATGAAGACTATGGTGGACATTTCTGTTTGTGTGGAAGTATTGTGATGAAGTTAGGTTTTAGATTATCATCCCGCAGGATGGTGGAATAAACTAATGGGCAAAGCATTTCAACATAGTTGGCCAATTTGAGATAGAACACACTTATCTAAATTTAAAAGGTTGAATAATTATGGTAGCCCATGTATGATATGCCTGCACCGAATGAATGCCTTAGTTGACGCTGAAATCGCAATTCTCTGCCCTCCTGGTAACTGCATTTTTAGGTTCGCCAAGTAATTTAGACTCGAAGCCAAATCTAAGAACGGATTTGTTGGTTTTAAAAAATCACTTCACGGTATTTTAATGCATACACGCACACGTTGCACTGTCCTTATGGAAAGATTTTACAGTTTTGTTAAATCTCAACCAGGGAAATTCGATAATAGAAGATGCATTTGTAGATTGGGGATTAATTTGCTGACTTATTTTCAGTTATGTATCCCCTTCGAAACCGAATTTAGCCTCCGTCATGCTCATGAGGTGTTAGCGCGTTACACCGAATATACCCACAGTGATAATTCTCACCACAGCCGAGAACAGCATAAATGAATCCTAGTGTGAGAAAAGCAAATGGTCGCCTGTCCATTAGTTCGGGGTTTCAACGCAGTATCTGAGCTATTTATATGGAAATCGTGGTTCACTAGCTGTCAATTTGGGAGACTCTCCTCACGTTCGCGTACGAACGTTCACGCAAACTAAGTCGAAATTTCCGATTCAGCACATTTGGCTAGGAAAGAAATAACAAATACCTGTCTGGAAAACTATGTCGTTCACCTGACAGGGGACATCTGTCACTTTAACACGAAGTTCATGATTCTAGAATTTTTAATAACAGAACTTAAGCAAGAAAAATATCGAAAAAATTACTGGGGCAATGTTTCAGTGAGTCGCCATAGTTCTGTTGAGTTTTCCGCTACACATAATTTAAGCACATGTGAAAATTGAGGACAGCTACCTATCACCCTTTGCGAATTTGTAGCCATGTGCTATCCTAAAGTTCGTTGCAAATACTACTGCCATTTCAAATGCAGCCTGCAGGTGTGTAAGATTGCTGAATAATATAAGTGTTCTGCATTCGATCGAAAGCCCTCGGAGCCTCTCCAACCCCATCGTCACGCTTTACTTTTGAACATGCAGATGCGTGCTGGTTGCGTTGAGCACTTTATGTGCACTTCGGTAGAAGTACAAATATAACACAGATGATAGCAAATGTCTTTGGAATGTCAGCTTAAGTAGACAGTGAAGTGGCTGAAAATTTCATTCCTGCGCTACGCAAGACAAAAAACATGCTTACGAAACCTAAAAACCTTAAAAATTAGTAGCACTCGGAACAAAAGAGAACGACAGGACACAAAGAAAAAAACTTAGGACATTGCAATCATTTTGGGACGCCTTCCACATTGACTCATCGATTGTGGGCCTTGCTTGTCAGGGGCATTTTAGGAACTCCCACTGTCATGAAATTTCAATCAAAATTCTGAAACGCGTTTTATATCAGCAAGGATCACTTCAGTGGGATTGTAATATTGATTATCATAAAGCATAATTTCATGATGTTCCAGTCACGTCGGAATGCCACCTTTTGAATGAACTTATTTTCGGCCGACAACAAAAATCACTCTCCCTAAAAATGTCCAATTAAGTGGCTCGACGATTTAATATATTTTCTATGCTTTCAGGAATTTGACTATATTTTATAGGAAACGCAATCAAATTGTTCCTCTTGTCCTTGTCTTGGAGAAAATCTCGTCTTCTCTAAATGTTATTCTCAGAAAGTAAGATTTTAAAGAACTGCTTTAATATAAGAATAATTTTGAACTCAGTCAGACGTTTCATTTGCACTTAGAGCTTTCACTCGGTATGCTGTATATTTTCCATTCACAAAAATAATACATTCCTCCATCTCACCAAGAAGATTTCATAAAGGTTTCATAAAATTCAACAGTGAAACTGGAGCATTTACATGATTCCTTTGGAGCGTTCATAAACCAGAGAGATTTAAATCTATTTGAATGGACGACCTTTCATAATCTAGCAATTGCAAACTTTTATATAACTGATTGATATGCTTTCTTTAAATATAAAACTTGCATGCGTTATGCGCTGCTAAATAAATGCAAGGAAGGATATTTTTCAAATGTGTGGTCTATAGGGTATATTTGTATATTGAAAAGCATCGCAAATCAGTGAAATGCCAGTAGTTATTTTTACCGAGCACGGTTTTGCCTAAAGCAGAAAAAGGCCATTCGGCAGCCAGCATCCCGAAAGGACTGAAATAGGTATTGACTACGTCGCAAAATGATCGTTCTTAGAACTCCATCAACTTAACCCTTCCTATATGAAAACACATTTTCGAATTTCGTTTCACATGACTAAGATTGTTCACAGGCTGCACTTAAATTCATTAAGCTATTCTTCCTAAAAAATTTGCATTCCTAAACTATGCGCGTAATGACGGTGAAAAGACAAAAGATACCAATGGAATAAAAAAGTTATATCTGAAGGTGACAGACAATATAGAAGAGTGGTTTGCCAGCTTTTTTCGCAAACATATTCTAATGTAAATTAAAATTGTGTTTAAATTTGCGTTTTATGGAGTTTTCGCCTTTCTGCCCTTTTCACCGTATGGTCACACGACCAAAGTAGACGAATTTTTCAAGCTTTACTCTTATGCTTTTGATGTTTTGCACGTATCGGTGCGAGACCTGCAGCATCTGAAAAAGGTTTTATGTCTAAAGGAGGGTTTAAGCGGACTAATACAGGAAAACAAGGATTCCAACATGCTTAACCACTATTTGGCAGCGCCTTCAGTTAACGAATAAGCGGACGAAAACGCTTAATTTCAGCTCCAAAAGTTTCCACAAGTCAAATCGTAGCTTAGAGTAGGAATGGGTATGACAACAATGTTCGTACGCTCTTCCTGAAGCCTAAAATACTATGCTGGGCAGATTGTCATCATTTCACTTAACGATGTTGGGGAAAACGTCAGCCAAACGGCATCAGTGATTAATGCGAACTTCTCCCTGAGGCATGCTGATGGGTACTTATTTGAATACCGGGCACTCAAACCCTAAGCACATTTATCGCGGTTGCGTTTTTCAATTTTCGTTCGCTTTTTCATCCAGGAACGCTATCACCTGTAATGGTATTAAGTCTGGCGATTTGCGAAACGTAGCGACTACGGCCAGCAAACCGATCATCCCTCAATTATGGCTTCTTTTTGCGATTGACAGATTTTATGCATACATTGGTGCAACGTTAAAATGATTTTTTAGACAGATGGAATGACACACGAAAATTTCCCAGTAGCTTTCTGTCGACTGAAGACGACAATAATGATGAGCTCGTTACACTCTCAGTTGGAAAACAATGTGGTTATGAATGGCAGTGTCTACGTAAGGGAAGTTTTGAGGAGTACGCCATTAGGAGGGAGGGCTGCAAAAAAAGGAATTTGGACTGGCAGTGGTTTTAAAGAAAGGTGGTATCCACACACACGGACCTGTTGTGACTTCTGTTTAGGGTGGGCATTAATGACATCTGATGTTCATTAAGAGCGAAGATCGTCGAAGCTCTTTGTAGAACATCGTTCCCTAATAAGGGGGAGGAAGTAGAAGTGGACGATCACCTCAGTCATATTCCACTCAAAAAGGTCAGTATTTGCAGGTGCATATACAAATCGCTGTGCTGAGGTGTCGCTAAGGACACTTATTTAGAGATGCAGTCGAGCTGATACATTGGGCAATATAAAATCAAAATAAACACACTCAGTTCACCATATGCTCTCAGCATCATAAGACATGCGTACTGGACAGATTAGGCCTGGCTCCCATAAAATGATCTAACTCGCGTAGAGAAGAATAACCTCGTCATTGACGCAAATCCCTAGGTTATCTTCGAAGAAGACTGAAAAGGACTGCTGGTCTAGTTTAAATATCTCCTATATATCTCAGTTAGAGAATAATGATGATTGTTGACGCTAGACCCAAAATAGGGATTTTATGCGAGTGTACGCACATGAGAATTTACACTTTAACTTTATCTAATCTTAGATGCCATAACCAAAGGAGAACGAAAGGAATTCAGTCTGGTGTTACCCAAATGCAACTCTAGCCTCAACCATATTTCGACACAATCAATGTCTGCAATCATCCGATATGGCTTTTCTTGTTTATGGTCAGCATAATATTCCATGCTTCTACCAATGTTTTCTGACGTGAATAAAATCTTCAACAGTGCAATGTCAGTGTACGAGCGTCCCGCCCTTAGTGCATATAGACAACGTGCACCATTTCGTACTTTACACCTAACTTAAACACTTGGTGTTTCCTTATAGTTGATAGCTAATTGTTAGAGAGTATACAATTTTCCATATTCGTATGTCGTTAAAGCAGTGTCATTCTCATTAGTAATGAACAAGTTGAGTAGGTGAACAATGCGCACCGATGAATTTTCTATAATGTCAAGGGGTATGCCAATTGATTGAAATTATGCAGCAAGGTGTACCTGCTAAAAATTGCGTTTTAGCATAAGACGTGTTTGCAAAAGTGGCGTGAAATAGGGATCGGTGACTTTCTGAACATAGATGTTTTAAAAATTTTCACAACGAAACACGACGGGGAATTTTTCAATTAAACGTTTCAAAATGCTGAGTCCAAAACAGGACTCAGTCGAGGGTATTAAGGCAATCATAAAAAACATTAGAGGGTTAACTCCTATCTTGGGCGAGACTGACAGACCACCGTGAAATCGAAATACTCGATTTACACTGTAAACTGATTGAAGATCGACAGGCAATTGAGCAAAACATGCGCGAGCCCGTTTACGATTTCGGTATAAATTCACCAGGACCTCCAATACTGTTCGGAGTGATGGGCAGACAAGAATTCCTTCTGCTGCTACTGCTATTGTTCTGCACCAAATACAGCCAGGGCGGTAAGTTTTTCACTGCCTTGGACTTTCGAATACCGTGAAAACGCCAGATATGTTACATGCGTTATAGGAATATTCTTTTACTTGGATGCAAGTGCAAAAGGGACTCTTTTGTTCCAAAGTTATTTGAGAAATGTTGTATGCCTTTAACTGCTGGACTGTCGAAATGCAAAAAAGTATAAAATTTCGTGCATAGTGATTGTTCTTTTTATAAAGAATTGACGGGAATTGACTTCGTTTGAGAAACCCACGGTCATGTAGTTGTTCTTTCATGTGAAGCAGACCGATGATTATGTAGACTTGCATCTGATTTAAGAAAGCACCAAACCCAAAACGCGGTCAAATGTCAATGAAATGTTAGAGACGAATTCTTTGTACATAACACAAAAAGAACTACGCATGTATTTTGCAACTTTTATCAAATCAACCTAAATGAAACTGTGTCAACTTACTTTCACAATGTAGTAGATAAAGGATACAGAAGGTCAGTTATTGTTATTTTGAACATAAACGGGTAAAAAGACTGTTTCTCAGTAATCTGACACTTGCTCTAAATTTAGCTATTTTTATAGAATGTGATTGCTTGTTCCATGCTCTGTCGTTTTTAACTTGTCAATTATAAGTACTTGCATATTTTTTATTTTGAGCAGCGAAACACTCCTACGACCTTTGCCTAGAGGGCACGGAACAATGCACGCGGATTCAATACCAGAAAACGGATCAGTCAAAAGGTGCTGCTTGTCGGAATGAATGTGCGGCTGGACCCCGTACGTTTTCGCCCTCCGTCTCTCATAGCTTCCACATCCCCTGCATTGCAAACTTAACACGTCTATGTTGTCTTCTTTCTAGTCGAAAACGGAACTGAGATATGGGCCACATACCGTGAACTTGATGGCGATTCTCCTGTGAAATACAAGGTGGTTGGACCCCCTGATCACCCGGAAAGTTTCACACGTCATATCCAATGTGTTCAGATTTGCGAACTTGTCGCTAATAGTAAGTGCCTAACCCGTTGATCTTTTGTTCCCTTGCCTCATCTGCTTGTTTTAAGTTGTCTTTCATAAATAAGCGCTACTTTTGACACGGATTTGGTCATGACTTGCTTTCTAGGTTTAGCAAAAAGGGATAACACGATTAACATGTGTATATGCAGAGATCGAGAATGTGGTTTCTTCCACAAATGGAATGGCAGCTTTGACAGCTTCAAGGACTGCTGGTCTGAATGCAGCGGATGGGGAGACCGTAAGTTTCTTTATGAATATTTCCCCTTTCCACTTACGTCCATGTGAAAATCACTACTTCCATTTTTTTCTTTCAGCCGAAAAATCCGTTATCGAACAGAGCTATGTCTGCAGCTCACAAGGTGACTGCCATGAGTTCTACGCATACCAGGAGTCGGAAAACGTTAACTATTTTTCCGACCTTGTAATGTGCATCGACCTTTGCGAAAGGAGAAAGGGTAGGTCGGAAAAAGCATTTTTGTTCGACATTCGACTTGGTTTGACCTCCTAACTCCCACTTGTCTTCTTACACAAGGTCTGCAGTATACATGCGACCCTACACGTAGGACATGCGTGCCTTGCTGGCCCTCTGAGAGAGGCTGCTCGAACCGTTACAGTTGTTCAAGACGGTGCTGAACATGCGAGGCAAGTACTTCATCCAAATGAATTATGACTGTGGAGAACGGAACAAGTGGTTGTGCTGAACTTTCAGCAAAGCTTAACTATTTGTATGTTCAGTAAGATTCAGTTTCCGCATATTATCAGACTACCTGGAAAACTAATGCTCAAACTCCAATATATAGCAACCACGTACTCCTTTAGCAGCGAAATATCTAATAAATGTATTGTTCCACGTTGATTGAACGATGACGAATTTCTTTTAAAAACTGTTTTGGAACTGAGCTTTATCTGAAAGATTCAGCAGAAGACAGTCTGCTGAACCATTAATTGCAGTAACAATTTGAAAAGCCGTGACGGTTGTAACGACGTTTGCTTGCCAGCAATCTAGTAAATCGGTGTAGTTTTACCTTCTGCTTCTGTATATATGTGCGTCAAAAGTTGACTTTAAATCAGACATGCTTTTCACTTTATCTATTAACAGCAACAATATATTCAGCGGGACAATGAACTGGTGAATGTATCGTTTCGAAATTTTGGTGGGTTTGGGCGCTTTTGGTGAATGATAAATTCTGATAAAATCTGTTCAGTTTCCTCATTTATTACTTACTGATCCAGTCAGTCAGTAAACCCTAGACATTGGAAACACTGTTTCCAAAATGCCCAGGCTTTGATGCTTCCGACGAACACTCACTAAGCAAGAACTACGTGAATTAGTCACTCACATGAGCAGTAAGGAATTTCTGCTGCTCGCTTCTCTCCTAAAACGACTTATTAGTGCGAATGGCCTGAGAAATAAACCGGGATATTTGCATGAACCCTCAAGACGTGCACGAATTCATTAAGTTGTCAATAGCAATGGGATTTCCGAGTACACTTTTAGACATAATAACTTGCCTCAGGAAGCCCGTAGTTATAATCACGGCTGTGCTGCAACGATCAGATGCATTTATTGGGCGCACTTTCATTTGAACGATCAGATAAGGAGAGATTTCTTCAGAAACTAGGAACTTCCTGCCAAACCAAAGGCATATGGCCAAATATTTAACCTTTGAACTATGCTCAATCCGATGTAAAAAGAAATACAAAGACAGAACGTAGCGATTTCGTACCTGACAGTTCGATTATCGTAACCGACGATGTGAACTGTGTGCTGCACATCAAGGTGAGGCGGGCACGGCGACTTGCACGTAAGCTGGTTTATAGAGAAAGAGAGTAGACTTGCGCAGCACTTACCGGACTCTCTCCTTCCCGTTCACTTCTACACCTGTGCACCATGTCTAGACATAGCCATGAAGGCCAGACGTGAGGTAGGGCGCAGGTGGCTGGCGCGGCCAGACCCGCACCTAGGCGTACCAAGGCACCTCCTTATTTACAACAAACTACTGACCAGGACAATAACAGACAACAGCAGCGACACTCCAACAGGACGAGGATGATCACTTGACAAGCGGGGGCGCTAGCTCATCTACCGGCAGAGAACCAGGTGCCAGTGAACTGCCAGCGCACATCAGACAGCGGCGTCGTACATTGCGTAAGCACAAACGGCACTTTCATGTGTGACATGCAATCGCTATGTTCCGTAGCGTTCAGCAGTGTACAATTACGGCAACTCAGACCTCACATCTGTAAGAATGCTATAAGGGCCACATGAAGGCATCACTTCTACCTGACTTGCTGTCCTCTGATAATTCCAAAGTACTAGCTTTGAGAATCGGATTATATAAAATGTTGGAAATCCTCGCCATGTAAGTCTTCTAGCTCGTCATAATAAATTCGAGGTCGGTAGTACGGTTAAGTCCCCCAGTGTCGGCTTTGACAGACAAAGCCACAGACAGACCCTTGACACTACGACGTTCAGTCCCCGTCCCGAATAGAAAAAGGAGTTGGACGCCAGTTGAGAGGATACTATGTACAGAAGGTTTAGGGAACAACAAAGAACAAGTTAGCAGCCGGAGAAGAAGGCGTCCGGCACTGTGGGAGCAGCGTTTTGAGTAAGAGTGAAGCCGTTGTCATAGCCTCCAGAGCGAGGGAATGTCTTATTTGGCCTTGACGTTGATTGGCTAGTTTGCATAGCCATGACTGACCCCGAACCAGACAACGAGTTCAGGCACAGGAAAAAGGTGCTGCGTGGCAAATGCGCCCAAATTAGGCTCGTCCGAGTCTCAACCTCTGCTCCATTTCCCATGCACCTGTTGACTACCACAGACTGGCAACCGCCTGACGACGGGACTGTGCGCAGCGGCTGACGGAGAAAATCTGTTCGTCTATGCGCGTTACTCAAAGCTAGTCCCTACTTTACGTGCTGGTGTACACCAGGGGGCAGATTTCCCAAAAAAATGAGCTACGCATATACTGACATCTGGAGTTATGGTCTCCAGGCCTGTTTCGCAAGGGGAATCGACTGACTGCTGCAAAAAAGCTGTCTACTTTTGCACAGATGGCATGCATGCGCGTCTGTGAGTAATTCGGGCAACGTGTGGTGATATGGGTTGAACTACGGTGTTTTGTCGAGTACTTTCCTGAAGGCGCATACGACCGAATATTCTCAATTGATTGTTGGAAATGCAGGGCCTGTAAGAGCAGGAGGGGCGTGTGTATGCCGGGCTCTAGGCTTGGATTCGCCGATACCTGTGTGTCGGCTCCGCAGATGGTTTACGAGGTCTATGCATGATGTTCATTTTCGACCGCGATAGGGGTAAATTGAGACTGGGTTAACACTGCAGGCGACGTCCAATATTCCGTAGTGCGCAGACATATTTCTGAAGACTTATGTACAGAGGACATCAAAATGCTCTCAGCGAGACTCCCTAAGTCGCCTCAACGCCCTCCGTTTCATCTTTAAACCACCTAACACAGTCAGTGTTTGGAACCGCAGTGCGATCACTGCTTGACGGTGTCCTGAGTTGCTTTCATACCTCCAACACCCAGTCCTCGCTTTGGTGGCGCGGCTGGGAGACCTGGTTGAGAGGGTCATTTCCAAATTTCTGATCACTCCGGCAGACGACGCTGCCTGGTATCTATTACGAAAGATCAAACGACGCAATTACAACGGGCAAAACGCATTTTTCGGACGCTTGGCTTTGATGCACACCAGCCGCATAGTCACCTTTATGATATGCACGCAAAAGTTGGATTTTAAAAATGTCCATATGACAAACTTCTACGTTGAGAAGGAGGTTAGAGAATTTGTAACGCTGATATAACTTCTCATTTTAGATTGGTTTGCGTTTTTCGCGACTAGTATCTCCCAGTTTGTCTATTCGCTTCAGCTGTTTTCTAACTTCTTCACGCAGACGTTTTCTGTACTGTATGGGTTGGTCTTATTTTGCTCAATACTAAAGTCGCCGATAAATCTCCTCCTTTACGGGTTATGCATGGCAACCATATACTACATCAGATTTCAAAAACTAAGGTTATGAGAATAATTCGAAATCTCAGTCTCCTTAAATACGGCGTCTTGGCAAATGCCACGTCCAATTAAACGTTTCACACAAATCGTAGTCGTTTACAAGATTGTCTTTAACCTGGCACCCGTCCGTTACACTGATTTTAACGAGGAAACATAATCTCCTAAACTGACACCTGATAGAATGTGGGGGTAAATTGACTCCATTGGTTACCCAAACGTCTTGTTTGTTAGCAAATAGGATTGCCACAGGCGTAGCGTTACCCTTCTTAGAAGATTATTTACTTCCCGAAGTGTGTGCTGACGGGATATTCATCGGTTTTGTTGCAGTCATGTGTCTTACATAGTTAATTGAATGAGGACCTGGACGGTTCATTTTACACTAGCAGTAAAGGCTAACATGATAATCCATTGGTGTCGATTCGTCTCCGGCCTCTTAGAGTTGCGCTAGCCAGCAGCGACCATGCCAGTCTCATTCACTCCGGGCGATTCAGGACGAAGGCTCCAATCCAGGTTTTTTTTTCAACCGGACTACTCGCCAGCGGAAAGGCTCAAACGTCTTCAACTAGTTCTAGAACTAATAAAGAGGCTAAGCGAGGGGGAGGACAACTTAGTCATATACAGCAACCAAGTACGGCGGCGTCCGTCACTCTTCCATTGGACAAGTCCGGTTCGAATGACCGCGCAGCCGACATATTAAGTGAAGGCGCTAACCAAAATGTAAATACATTTTCCATCAGCTAGAAATTGAAATGCTTGTACACCAACGTGCAGAGTTTGCTATCAAAGTTCGACGAGTTAAAGATCCACCTCTGCGATCTATCCCCTGACGTAATCTCGTTAACAGTAAACTGGTTATCCAGCACGTGGACGACCGTGAGTTGGCCTTGCTTGACTACCATATGTTTAGAAGGGATAGGGGAGGGCGTAAGGGAGGATGGGTACTCACGTATATGAAAAATAGGATAAATTTATCGGACAAAACCGATATAATTTCGTGCAGTTCCGAGGCAAGCTGGCTATCTACTAAAGTGCCGAGCTCGCCTAGCCTCGATGTCCTGACACTTTATCGACCGCCCAGACGGGACAGCATGGCCGACGCTCGTCTGCTGGAGGAGCTCGAAAAGTTCGCTAAGTGGCCGGATATCCTGATCATGGGGACTTTAACGCGTCTCATATTGACCGGAGCTTGACCCATGCAAATAACTCAGAACAGACCTTCGATAGGTGTTTTCTGAACACGCCACTGAAATTATTTCTCACTCAACACGCCATGTTACCCACTAGAGTACGTGAAGGCTAACAAGCCAACTGCCTTGATCGTGACCTTACGAAGTCACGGGACAGCACCGATGAGTTTTCATGCCTACCCCCTTAGGTAAAAGTGGCCACGTAGTTCTTCTATGGGATTACGCGCTCCTTTCCATGCCCGAAAAATCCGTAAGAGTTTGAAGAAACCTTTGGCGCGAGGATTTTGACCAAATGAGGGCTGAAGTTTCACGCATTGATTGGGAGTCCGAATTTGTTGGAAGCATAGTCGAAGATCTGCAACGGTTTCGAGAAATTCTTCACAAGCTGATCGCATGCCACTGTCCGCTTCCACGGAAGAGGTTAACTAACCGGTCTCGATGGCTTACGCAAGCCTTGAAGAATGAAGTGAAAAAAAACAAAGGCTGTGGAAAAAATCGCTTTTTGACAGGACCTTCCCATCTGCATGCGCGTACAAAATTCAAAGAAATCGAGTCAAGGGCCTTATCCTCCAAACTAGAAGAGAATTCGAACGGGATCTGCTTAACCGCGCCGCCGAGAACCCTAAATTATTCTAGGATTACGTGAGGTACTGCACGCGGAACAAGGACCCAAGACCAGTGCTAAAGACTGCTGAAGATAAACATCTTATTGAAGACAGAGCGAAAGCTGATCATCTTTCAGCATTTTTTCGGTCTGTTTTTAGTAGCGAAACAGGATTCAACCCTTCGGCCCTTCAATCCTTCGAAGACACCCCAATTATAGAGACCGTCCAGTTCACTGAGGGTATTGTTCTGACGGAGATGCTAAGGCTAATTGAAACCCAATCACCAGGTCACGATGAGATTCTGGTGAAGATTTTGAAGGAAATTGCCGGTGAATAGTCTAAGCCACTCTCCATGCTTTTGCATACATCATTCGAGACCGGATATCTGCCACCCGACTAGAAGTCGGCGTGAACTGCGCCGCTGTACAAGGGCGAAAGTCGGGTGTCAGCGAACAATTACACACCTGTCAGCCTCACCTCCATTTGCCGCAAGATTATGGATAAAATAATAAAGAAACAATTAATGCAGTTCCTTGAACAACACTATTTGCTTTCCGGTCCCCAGCATGGATTCCGAAAAAGCAGATCCTGTGTGACAAACTTGCATTACTGTCTGGAACACTGGACTCGGGCTGTTGATATAGGAGATATGGTGCATGCCATCCATATCGACTTGAAAAAGGCCTTCGATAGTGTGCCTCACAACCGCCTTCTATACAAACTCAGCCGTACAGGAGTTCGAGGTAAGCTTCTGATGTGGATTCGAAGCTTTTTACTGGGCCGCTCTTAAGGCGTCCACGTCAGTGAGCAGCAATCTGCCAAGGTTGGCGTTAGGCTTGATGTTCCCCAAGGCTCTGTTCTTGGCTCTATACTGTTCCTCGTATACACCAACGACTGCGCAAACTAACTGAATTGCGATGTCGCAATGTTTGCTGATTAAATAAAGATCTGTAGTACCATACGGAGCGAAGTTGACGAGGCGCGACTGTAGACAAATCTGGACCACCTCGAGCAATGGTCGAAAGACTGGTTTCTACAGTTCCTAAGTATCAGCAGAAGCAGTTCTCTCAACCACCGGTCTGCCGTCTGACTGGCAAACCACTGCAAGAAGTCGACGCCCAATAGGACCTGGGTGTATGGATCACAACCTCGCTCAAGCCTTCGCTGCAATGTTCAAAGGCGGCCAAGTCAGCGATGTCCACTCTGTACCTCGTCAAACGGGTGTTCTCCTACTTTGATGAAGACTGCTTCACCAAGATCTTTCAAACTTTCATGCGACCGCATCTGGAGTTTGCTATCCAAGCATGGACACCCTGCACCGCTAAAGACTTCGGCATACTCGAAAACGTTCAACGGCTAGCAACGAAAATTGTATCTACACAGTGGTCATTACCCTACGAAACACGATAAGCTAATCTTGCCCTCTTTCCTTTGAGTTACAGACAGCTACGTGGGGACCTGATACAAGCTTTCCGCATCGTGCGCAATCAGGGCTGCTGCCTCGCAACAGGAGACTGCTTCGAGTTGGCAATTACGACTAACCTGAGAGGCCATCCACTCAAATTGCGTGTGACTGGTGCCCAGCTGGACACACGAAAGTTCTTCTCCAACAGAGTGGTTGCAGTTTGGAATGCCTTGTCTGAGAATGTTGTCATGTCGAGATCCGTAGATACTTTTAAACGGAGGCTAGATCAACATTGGGGGGCGCACCACAATAACGCCGGACTACGGCCACCTTGATAGCCAACGTTGACAACATAGTGTTATGACGATGCTACTACCAACATTCAAGTAGCATATGTTTATGTAATTTATTAACTTTGGACCACGTCGCAACCCGCTGCTCGAATTCACGACGATGCCTTTAGAATAAAAAAATTTGCTTCTTTTCCTGTATCGGAGGTGTGCTTCAATTTTCTCCTGCATTAAATCGACAAACCGAGTTCACGTGCCTCCAAATTCTGTAAACGCATAACATTCAGTGTTCATCTGTACAGTTTTTGTTATTCCCCTTTTATTTTTTCATGTAACTTCCTTTCCATTTTCTCCATATACTTCCTCTGCACCTAATCAACAGGGATTTCAAAGGTACACATCTTCTTTCCCTAAAACACACTTATACTGATATTAAGTCATATTCAAAATCCCTGTGGTGCTTTTGAAGGTGACATTTTTAATAACCGATGTATTTTTTCCCAAAGTAATAGGAAATAAATCATCCCGTCCGATCTCAATAGGCTGGGATCGCCGGACCCGCAACGTGGCGTTCTACCACACACCTTGCTCCACGATAAACACTTGAGCACGCTTTTGACAAACAACGACGACAACACAACTGATTGGAAAAACAACGACGACAGGGTAGCTATGCTCCCGACCTGTTTACTCGGTGAGAGCGCATGTGAATTTACCTTCAGTGAACCAGGCGCCAGGAACTGTCACTGCATACCAGGCTGCGAGAGCAACGGCTTGCTGAAAAATTGATAGTTCATAAACCCGTTCCCGTAGCTCATCAGCTTTCAGTTCCATCGGCACAATCAGCCGGGTCAAACCACTACCGCCATTTACGTGAGTGAGCTTCTGCCGTTATTTTCATCCAGTCCGAGTCTAAGATCTGGGTTAATCGCCGTCAGCAAGCCTGTGCGTTTTCATATTTCATGCTCTTCAGTGGGCACAAAAAGTAAGCATGAAGTGAACGAACGCATTAAAAATTATTACGTATCCCACGACCTGCGTTACCTCTGCACGCGATCTATCATTGGACTAAAAATTGCTATTTACGCTTACGACGAATTTATTCCCTAACTTCTACTTTGGATGTTGCGTTGGACCCCTTTTTAAGCCACCTACCGTGCTCCGTTTGCACGTCTGCTTGCTAGGTGGCTGTTTAGAGGTTGGTCTTGTGTTCTGGTCAAAGTATATGATCTGAATCCGAGACCCCAACTCTTTATTTTGCCAGTTACTTCGCGACACTTTAAACACGACCAGTCTCCGTAGTTCTACCATAGTCTGCTCTAAGATTAACTTTTAGCAAGTGTACATGGCAAAGTGATATCAATAAATGTGCGTATTTAACAGACAATGCCCAATAATTCATCTGTGGATGGTAAGTTTTGGAAGCAGAAGATTTCTCAGCGTATTTTTTTGTAAATCCTCAGATTTTGATATTTGTTCTCTTGGTAATCGACAAGCTATCTGGTGGCATCTTAATGTATTCGTTTAAATTCGGTATCATGAGTGCGAATCATAAGTCAATTGATTCCAAGCAAGTAAGGAAATTTTTTATTGTCAAATGATTGTCCCACTCCATAAATATGTTCATTACCATGATAACCATATAATCAGAATCTGAGGTACCACATTAAGTCATCGGTTTCCCTAAAATCCTGTAAAATCCAACATGTCAGACAACATACAAATTGTTGCGCATTTTTAAAAAACATAGATAATATTATCGGGCAAAACGCATTAACACGCTTTGACTAGAGTAACAAAAACAAAAAATAGAAATTCAGTCTCCAATGGCCTTCAGGATTACACTGTTCCCAACCACTTGCTTGGATATATTTCCTGTGTGTATGCTCTATATTTAATTTTGAAAGTTCCTTCGATTTTTACCAATGAATGGAACAGAAATTATTCCAGCCAAATAATACAAGTTTTGACTAATGCTATTCGTATAATCAAAACAGGTGATATAATACACATTGAATGGGCGTAGATTGATGCTTAAAAATTCGAACATTTAACTATCTCCATCTGGCCCTGGATGTAACGTAAAAAGATCTTTAAATCCGATTAACCGGAAGTCGCGACTACTCGCAGTCATGTGATAAAGTTCAATTCAACAAGTAGTTCGTTTCCGCAGACGTGCAAGCTACACGCTCCCAAAGTGTCTGGTTGCATTTTTGGTGAAAACCTCCTTATGAGGACTTAGATATCAGATGCTGTAAAGGTTTAAATTGCAGCCACCGTTGATGCAAGACTTACTGCTACTGCCATCGCATTCATTCATGCACTGCATAAGACTGTATGAATTGTCTTCAGTCCCCGGTTTTTGATAGTGGTAAAATGTTTGGCATCGTCTTTGAGAATCGCACATGTAGGCCACTGCTAATACTGTCTTTTCGACTGAAACAGAAGAAACGGATGTGATGGTATCCCTAGATTTGTAAGGAAATTAGAAGGCAAGAACAATCACATAACCTGACGCACGGTTTGTCCACCCGCTACAGTCATGCCAACATTTCTTGAAGCGGTCGAATTGAGTTTGCCAGAGAGAGTATCCGCTGCAGTCAATGGCTGTACACCCGCATATTCTTGCGTAACCGGCGTCCTCTTGTTTAACTAAAGGTCAAAAATGTGCAGATGCGAAATATACGAAAAAAACCATGCCGGTCCCCACTAGTCAAAGCAGTCTGTCTTACTGGAGTTCACAAGTTCGCATGCCAGTACGCACTTGACGTGTCTGGCAAAACTTTCGGCATGTCCATCACGTCCAGTTATCTGGTACTTCTTGCAGCTTTTATACTCGTCATCAGGACAGTTGAAGGCTGTGAGGATCTTCGTATTGGAGGCTTAAGACAGTAAAAGTGAAACGCTGTGTGAACGGAAATCTCTGTAGGCAATTGCAAAGTCGCAAGTACTAAAGCGCACGAAACTCAAATAACTTAATCATACCTGGTCCTGTGGCACAAGCTTCTCGACACGCAGTGCCATTTGACTTATCTATCGCCGCGTAACGTACTGTGGTGCATTCGCTTCTGGGTTTCAAGCAAATCTTGTAGTATCCGTACGGCTCATCCTTGTCTGGAATTCAAATTACGATGGTTAATAGAGGATTAACGTCTTTCCTATTGTAGGGCTTATAGAGCTGAGCAGCACCTAGGTCGACTGTTGAATGTCCCGCATTGTTGGTTGGCATTTGACCAATAACCAAGTAGGGCAGTCAAAACGGTATTTTCATGGAGACTATGGTGGACATATTCCCTTGTGTGGAAGTATTATGATGAACTTAGATATTAGATTATCATCCCGTCGGATGATGGAGTAAACTTGTAGACAAGTAATATCGACATATCTAGCCCAGTTTAAATAAAATTGCCTTGTCTGTTCTTAAAAGTCTGAATAATTAGTGTAGTTAATATATGTTGTGTCTGTACCGTTTCCTTGTTGTACGACTAGTTGCTATATATGAGACATGTAAGTGTAAAATGCATGACCATTAACTTAAATAAACGCAAATGTTATATTCGCGTTTTAAGATAGAGCATGAATTCTACAGTTGGTGCTGTCAACTCAACCCTTATAACTGCTGGTACCTGCATGTTTAAGTTGGGAAAGTAATTTAGAACCAGAACGGAATTTCGAAAACGGATCTGATGGCGTTACCAAATCGATTTAGTGCTTTAATGCAGTTTTCCTATGGAGAGCTTTTAGGCCATTGGTCTGTGTTAACTTGTTATTGCTGTCATATACCCCATTTAGCAAAAATTGATAAAAAGAAATGCATTTTAATTTCAGGCATCGTCTCGACGATTTATTATCATCTATGTACCATATTTCAGACTAAATTTGGCATCCGTTAAGCTTTTGATATTATAGTGAGTTTTGTGAAAGGCTTTCAGTGATAATTCTTACCACAGCCGAGAACTACGTGGATTAATACCAGCAAGAGTAAAATAAATGGCCGCCTGTCCATTATTTTTGGGTTTTAATGCAGTACCCGATCTATTTATATGGAAATCGTGGTTCACCAGCAGTCAATTCAGACGACTTCAACTAAGTTCGTACATGATTTCTTATTCCAGTGTGTCGTTCACGCCAAAAATCGAAAATTTCGATTTAACACATTTCGCTGGAAAGAAAAAACGGCTTTCTGTCTGGAAAGCCATGTCGTTTACCTTATAGGGAATATCGGTCACTTGAATGCGCATTTCATAGTCCTAAATGTTCAAACAACGGAATGAAAGCAAGAAAAATATCAGACCAATGTTTCAGCAAGTTAACATAGTTCCCATTGGCTTTATTAAGTCATAATGTGGCTACATCGTCTCCCACGCTACACAGTTATAGCATCCCTGACAAATAGAGCACAGAAAACTATAACGTTTTACGATTTTCAACTTTGTGTTGCCCAAAAGTTCGTTGTGAAACCTATTGCTATTTTAAATTCGATGTTTAGCGCTGCACAAGACAACAACATGCTTACGAAACCAAAAGACCTTTAAAATCAGTATGACACAGAGAAAAATGCTTACGATTTTGCTTTCTTTTTGGGAAGCCTACGACAGTGGCTCATCGAATGCTGGCCTTGCTTGTCAGGGGCGTTTTAGGAACTCCAACTAGCATGAAATTTCAATCGAAATTCTGAAACGCGTTTTAAATTAGCAAGGATCACTTAAGTGGAACTGTAATATTGATAATCATACAGCATAATTTCAAAAAATTCCAGTCACATGGGGATGCTGGCTTTTGAATGCACTTATTTTCGGCCACCTACAAAAATAACTCTCCCTAACAATGTTCAATTAAGTGGCTCGACTCTTGGATATATTTCTTATGCTTTTGTAAATCTGACTATATGCTACAGATAATACAATCAAAATGTCCTTTTTGTAGTTGTCTGTCAGCCAATCTCGTCGACTTTAAATGCTACACTCAAGAAGCACGTGCAGTTAAATTTTGAAGAATTGCTTTAATGACATAATAATTTTGACCTCAGATGTTGTATTTTGGTTTAAAAATTTCTTTATACATGCTGTTTATTTTACAGTTAATAAGATTTTACACAGGGTTCATCAAATGCAACAATGAATGCAGTATATTTTGCATACTTCATAGGGGTTATTAATCAACCAGAGAGATACGATACGATTTGAATGGAAGACCTTAAAGATTCTGATAAAGATATACTTTTGTAAAACTAAAAGTTATGCTTTCTTCAGATGGAAAAAATGGAAACATTTTATGCGCTGCTGAATGAGAACAAAAAATGATAATTTGTATTTAGAAAAACATTGCAAATTAGTGAAATAAATCATGTTTCACAAGCAATTATTTCTACCGAGCGTGGTGTTACCTGCGGCAGAAAAGGCCACTCGGCAGCCAGCATTCCGGTATGACTAAAATAAGTTATGATTGCGCTGCAAGATGATCGTTCTTAGAACTCCAACAAAGTAATCATTCGTAAATAAAAATACATTTTCTAATTTCGTCTTACTTGCCTAAGACTGTTCACTGACTGCAATTAAATTCGTCATGTTCCTTTTCCTAAAGGACGAAAGCATTCCCAAAGTATGTATGTAATAACGGTGGAAATATACAAGATACCAATGAAGGAAAAAATTATATCTGAGGACGGAAGACAAAATAACAGGATAATTTGTTAATTTTTCGTAAAATTGTATTAGAATAAACCCGACCGGTAGTTCAAAATTTGCATATTATGCAGTTTACACCTTTTTGTACTATCCAGTATGTGGTTTTGGAACTGAATTGTATTTTTTAACACCTCCTCTTGTCTTTACTGTTGCGCAGTTACCGTTCCGAGCCCTGAAGGATATAAAAGTGTTTTTCAACTCAAGCTAGGGTTAATGCAGACTAATGCTTGCAGCCTTCGTAACACAGAATGTAAAGGACTCCGAGGTGACTAACCAATGCCCCTCTGCGTCTTCACTTAGAGAACAAGCAAGCCAAAACGCTAAATTACAATTTTATACATTCGCTAAAAAGTATTTAATTTTACACGAGTCAAACGGTATCCTAGAGCTTGTACAGGTATCACGACAAGTTTGGTGCTCGTATTCTGTAACCTAAATATTATCCTTGGCAGATCCTCATCATTTCAGTAACATAAGTTGACGTTAAGAGTTAGTCAGACAAAATCAGTGAACGATGATAACTTCTCACTGAGGCAGGCATGGAGGCTTGTGGTAGCTGGGACGCTTGCCGGTCATTTCTAAGGAACTCACTCGTTCAGTTGTTCCTTACAGCGGTGCATGATATAACAGAATGCTATTGCCAAACAAGGCAAGGGTGACTGGAATATGCAATTCTGGCTTATTAGCCGTCATCAGCCAGTCATACGCAACCCCGAACTGTTAAACACCTGGGGCTCCGTCCCGCGAATTGGCGGCCCTAGTCGCCGAACTTGCGACATTCGTCACCCAACCGAGCGGTGGACTCTTAAGTAACATCGAAAAACGTCGCGTGCCAGGTCCGGTGGGATGGACGTGAATAATGAAACCACGTCAAAGGACACCAGGAATTCGGAGGCCGAAGTGATGGAAGTCCTTGAGCCTTCTCGGAGAAAGTTGAGGTTTCGGGTCATCCGCTTGGATAGATTGTAGGTGGGGCTGCCTTTCAAGGCAAGGGTCGGTCGAAGTGGAGCATTCGGCTTGTGGATTTTGGATAATCCATAAAAGCGGGCCAGTGCCACGTCCGTTGGTTTCATCTGTCGCCATTCGTCTAACGATATAGCACTGTTTCGTTTATGTCGGTTTAGAAGTACAGTTAGTTGACAAATTATCGATTTGGCTCGCAAAGAAGGCGTGTATTTGTAGGACTGTTGGTCGTCGAGGAGGGCTTGTGCCTTTTTATTGTAGTCAACGCGGTTCTTCACGACGGTTGCTCTTCCTCTGTCGGCTGGCAGCACAATCATATCTTTGTTCATTTTTTATTCCTTCATTGCTTATATTTCTGCATTGGTTCTTACTAACATGGCTTCAAACGCGGCAATAAATTCGGCTGGTTTGGCATCTGCCGTATTAAAATTTGCTTCACGACTCAGCACTCTCAGTTCTTGTTTCGTTGAATGTCTGGAAGATAGATTGGGCACCACATTTTTGTTCGCCTTGTATTCGGGTTTCAAGTTTCCAAACTTCTGCTCTAGGTTCATGCGCTTTAACTACTGTCTGCTTTTTGCAAAGATGGATATTATTCGGCTAAGGGAATCAGTAATCGATTTGCCAAAAAGTGTCGAGCTCTCTGTCATTTTCTGTTCAGTGACGGCGCGGTACTTGTGTAGGCGCAAATGGCAGTCGTTGATCAATACTCTTGTCATTTGCTTGCGAAAACGTTAAGCAACGTTTCTCCCAAGTTCAGTGTTCACTGGAGTCTTGTAGCTTAGGCTCTTCGGCGTCAGTCCTTCGCGAGAACATCTGCACAGAAAACGAAGCTGCACATATGTTGCTGCCTCTGGGTTAGAGAACGTCTCCCAGCTGCGAGCTGTGCGAAGCGCATTACTCCCGAAATGTTCACGGATGGAAGCTCATATGCGAATCCCATGTTCTTGTTGTAATGAAGATGAACACACGATCTCTGGGACAGTAGGTGTATTAATCTGAGCTTTCGGTTTCGTACAGGAAGCCATCGTCAGAGACTGTGAGAATGCGTCATCAAATGAGCGGTTTTTGTAGTCAGGCCATAAAGGAGGGAGGTGAAATATGAGTGCAGAGGGTGGTATTCGCGATAAGGTGAGTCTCACGCCGTCTCACGGTGGCGTGATTGCGTGCACCTTGGCTGGAAATTTGGTCTCGCATCTTGGCCGCGGGAACGGAGCGCATGATAGCAGGGGGTATGCCAATGTGCCTGTTGATAGAGTTGGTGTCAGACACCCAGGCTTCTAACAGTTCTCGTCCTTTCTAATTGTTGGTCTGCGCTACTATCCGCGTGCTCTCGAAGTTGAAGTCGTGGCCTTCCTCTAGGGTGTGAGTGGCGATCTGAGACAACGGGTCGCCCCTCCAGGCCGCCCGTTTATACTCCGTTATTCTTGAGTTAAGTCGTCGTCCGGTCTTTCCTGTGTATTGGCGAGGGCGATCCCGACATGGGATCTGATAGGCGACACCGATTGCTCTCCACGTCTAAGCGATCATTCACTCGCATGATTTTGCTGCGCATGGTCGCTGTCGGACGGTGAGCAATACCCACGTCGAGCTCTCCAGCGATATGTTCCATCGCTTCGGACACGTTCTTTATATATGGTAGAGGGTGCCAGAGTGTTGGCGGCTCTCCTCCGTTTGTTCGCCGGGGGTAAAAACGCACTGCAGTGAACCAGAGGGACGAGTATGAGAACTTCGGCATCCGCGGGACAAACTGGCAAGGAATGGATACCCGAACAGCTTCGTCAGACGCTGCCTCCGCACGCGCCCACACACACACGAACCTATTGTGAGGGCTGTTTAGGGTTAGCAGTAATTACATGTGCTGTTCATTAAGAGCGAAGATCGTCGAACCTCTCTGTAGAGCGTCATTCCATAATAAGGAGAAGGAACTAGAGGTGGACGATCGCCTCAGCGGCATTCCAGTCAAGCAGATTAGTATTTGCAGATGCATGTGCGAAATACTGGGCTGAGGCGTCGTTAGTTAAAGTTTAACTGCGGTTATTTAGAGGTGTGCTCAAGTTGATACGTCGGGTTATATAAAGTCACATAAAGTTCCTTAGGTCGCCATTTGCTGATGGGCGGAGATCCCTAGGTTATCTTCGAAGAAGACTGGAAAGGACTGCTGGTCTAGTTTAAATATCTCCTATATATCTCAGTTAGAGAATAGTGATGATTGTTGACGCAGGACACAAAAAAAGGATTTCATGCGAGTGTACAAACATGAGAATTTACACTTTCACTTTATCTAATCTAAGATGCCATTATCGAAGGAGAACGAACGAAATCCAGTCTAGTGTTGTGTCTGATAAGGGGGATCTGGATTTATGTCTTTTCTTTTGCACAGCGTGTGGTTTCAAAACATTCTTATGTCTGGTTTACCATCCGGTTTCAAAACGCTTCTACATATTTTTGATCAATAAGTAAACACGATCACTTCGTGCTCGTGAGTTCCTTAAGAGGAAGCTGCTAAAGTAAACTATGCTCATCGGTACTAGCTATTAATATACTTAACTGATTTACATCTACGAGATTTAAAGATTGCTCTACTGTATCCCCAGGTATCGACACAGGACTCATTATTCTTTCTCACAATTCCGAACAATTATGATCAGGAGCATGTCCTTGGGGTAGACGATAATCAAGATAGGATAATTAAGAGACGTATATATATATATATCACCCATATAAGGCGTCGGGGCATGCATATTAGGCCATAGGCAAATAGCGATTAAAATTTCACAACTCGTGATCTGAAAGTTGCGGGTCTCGAACCCAGTAATCTCGAATGCATGAGAAGTTGTCGCTTGTTTTATTCGTCGTCTTTTAAACTATCTGCTCTGTCGTCGCCTTTTTTGTAACTTTATATATCTGGTTATCCAGAACCAAGATATTTGACTGCGGTATGGCATCTGCGGTTACGGGCACCAAAGCGTTCGTTACCTCTTTATAGTACTACGAGGAGGGTTATTTTCATACTAAGAGAAATGTGGGATTTCATGGTGTGCTGTTAGGCACTCTGCTCTGATATTAAATAGTGTGAATACCCTCGGTGTGATGAAACTGCCCACAAGCATTTATCAGCAACTCACCGCCATCCAAAGACAAGTAGAGGAATATTTATGCTATAACCTTGGGTGCATTAAGGTTAAAATGCGTTGCTTCCCTAGGTAAGGACGTCAGTATATGGCATCAGTGTTAATGATCAGGAAAAATGTGCTGGGATGGAGTTTTGGGAGTGGACACTGAAGCAGTTTGCATCGTTGCTTTGTAATGATCGCAGAGTCGCTCTAGATCGTGTTTGTGGACTCCTTTATTTTGCATTAAAGTGGTCTTGACCGCGGCATACAAAGTCGTTAGACATTTATGAGACCGTTTTATGGGGAAATGAGCCGGGACTGGGCAATTGGTACAATGGCGAACAATCGAGGAGGCAATGACTTTCAGACCCATGCGTGCAAGTAATGGACTATAAAGTTATCGATGAGATGCTGAATGTGGTACTCTCGGAAGGAGCTTAAACAGGTCCGTCTAATATGATGCATTGTGTATAATGAAATGCAGTTGACTATTCCTAATAATGGTCAGTTACTGACGTAGAGGGGGACATGCTCGCTGGATAGTTTGGGACACGTTTAGTAGGTAAACATTGCCTATGGATGACTTTCCTGTAATCGACAGTGGGATGCCGATTGATCGAAACTATGCAGCAGGCTGTAAATGATGCATATTGGGTCTTTGCATAAGGTTAGTTTGCAAAAGTGGCTTGAAATCGGGCTCGGCGAATTTCTGAATATATATATTTTTAAATTTTGTGTAACGGAACACGATAAGAAATTCGTTAGGTTAAAAGTTTCCTACTGTCGATTCCAACAGAATGTTCAGTGACGGGTTTTAAGAAAATCAAAAAAACCTTAAAGCGTTAACTCCTATCTTGGGAGTGACTGACGGGCCACTAAAAAACACTTTTTGCTGTTCACCGAGAAACTGTTAAATCGGAATTTTCGATTTTCATTATAAACTAGGTGGAGATCGACAAGGAGTCGAGTAGAACTTGCGCACGCACGTTTGAGGTTTTGATATAAATTCACTGGGACCTCAAATACTGTTTCAGAGTGATGGACAGACTAGGCTTCCTTCTGCTGATACTGCTACTGTTGTACCCCAAATACAGTTTTGGCGGTGGGTTTTTCACTACCTCGGGTCATTGAATCTGGTGAAAACGCCAGATACTTAAACGCTAGCATACGAGTAGTCATTTACTTAGATGCAAATACTTTCGTAATTTTCAAAATGTATACCATTAACTGCTGGGCTGGTAAAAGGCAAAAAATCGAATTTACATATGTGTAGTTGTTTTTTATTAGGAGCTGACGAAAATTATCTGAGCTCGGAAAGCTTACAGTCACTTACTTGTTCTTTTGTATGAAATAAACCGATAATTCTTTAGACGTTTGTCTGACAAAGAATGAAATGAAATACGTGATATACGAGATACATATTTGTTGTAAAAAGTACTAACAGAGGCACGCGCTTAGTATGCAAATTTTCCTGAAAGAATATGATTAAACTAGTGCCAACTGATTCTCACAACGTACAGAGAAGGGACTCAAAATGATAGTTCTTTTTTGTTTCGAACGTAAGCTGAAACATGTTTTCTTCAGTAGCCTGAACATCGGAACAGTGAAATGTCCTAAGTCCAGCTGCTTCCATTGAATGTGGTTGATTGTCTTTTTCTGTTTCGTTTATTCTCATTTTTATATCATGTATTTTCAGCGGGTAAATACTACTATAACCTATGCCTAGAGGGCACCAAACAATGCACCCGGATAAAATATCAGAAAACAGACCAAACAAAAGGCGCTTCTTGTCGGAATGAATGCGCCGGTGGACCCGGTATGTTTTCGTTCTCTGTCTTTCATAAATTCTACATCTCCTGCATTGCCCTCTCCGAAATTCTACGTTGTCCTCCCCCTAGTCCAAAACGGGACTGAGATATGGACCACTTACCATGAACATGATGGGGCTTCTCCCGTCAAGTACAAGGTGGTTGGTCTCCCCGGTCACCCGGAAAGTTTCGCTCGCCATGTCCAATGTGTTCAGGTCTGTGAACTCGTCGCTGACAGTAAGTGCCTAACAAAGTAATCTTTCGTTCCATTGTCTTGTCCACTTAACAACATTATTATGCCAACGCCTTGCCTTTTAGGTTTAGCTAAGAAGGGTTACACCATTAACATGTGTATATGCAGAGATCGAGAATGCGGTTCCTTCCACAAATGGAACAACAGCTTTGACAGCTTCAAGGACTGCTGGTCTAAATGCAGTGGATGGGGAGACCGTAAGTGCATTTGTGTATACTTGTCCGTCTCGCTTGCTTCACTGTTGAAATAATTGCTTCCACTTCTTTACTTTCAGCCGAAAAATCCGTTATCGAACAGAGCTATGTCTGCAGCACACGGGGTGACTGTCATGAGTTCTACACATACCAGAAGTCGGAAGATGTTAACTACTTTTTCGATCTTGTAGAATGCATCAATCATTGCGAAGCGAGCAAGGGTATGTCGTAATAATTATTTGTATGCGACGGTCGATTTGGCGGGCCTTCCTTAAGATTCTTCTTCAACTCACACAAGGTCTTCAGTACAGATGCGACCACACACGTAGGACTTGCGTGCCTTGCTGGCCTGTTCAAAGAGACTGCTCGAGCCGTTACAGTTGTTCAAGACGATGCTAAAAATACCTGGCAAGTACTTTATCCAAAGGAATTTTTACTGCGGAAAATTGAAAAAAGTGGCTGAGTAAAGTTATCAGCAAAAATAAACCATAATTATGTTCGGTAGGATATAGTTTCAGCATAGTATCAGGCTCTCTGTAAAGCTGATGTTCAACATCCAATATATAGCAACAATATACTCATTTATCAGCGAAACTTATAATGACTGTATTGTTCCACGTTGAGTGGGAGATGACGGATTTCTTTAACACAGTTGTTTTGGAGCTGAATTTAATCTGAAGGATTCAGCAGAAGATAGTCTGTTGAACAATTTATTGCAAGCACAATTTGAAAAGCCGTGATGGTTGTAACGCCGGTTGCTTGCCAACAACTTAGCAAATCGGCGTAGTTTTATCTTCTGCTCATTTATTAGTGTGTTTAAAAAGCTGACTTTAAACCTGACATGCTTTTCGCTTTATCTGTTTAAAGCAACAATATATCCAGCGGCAATGAACTGGCGAATGGACCGTTTTATAAGTTTGGGGGTTCTGGTCACATTTGGATATGGAGAATTCTGAAGAAATCTGTTCAGTTTACTTCATTTCTTACTTACTGCGCCAGTCAGTCAGTTAGGCCTAGACGTTGAAAGCGCCGTTTCGAAAATGCCTCAGCTTTGGTGCTTCGAACTAATACTCACAAAGCAAATGACTTATTAGTGCGAATGGCCTGGGAGGTAAGCCGGGATATTTGCATGAACCTTCAAGACGTGCCGGAATTCATTTAGTTGTAAATAGCAAAAGGAATTTCGAGCACACTTTTAGACATAATAACTTGCTTCAGGAAGCCCGTATTTAGAATACCGGCTGTTCTGCAAAGATCAGTTGCATTTATTGGGCGCACTTTCATTTGTACGATCAGATTAGAAGAGATTTCTTCAAATATTAGGGACTTCCTGCCAAACCAAAGTCATTTGGCCAAATCTTCAACCTATGAATTCTGCTCTATCCGATGTAAAAAGAAACACGAAGACTTTACGTAGTGATTTCGTACCTGACAGTTCAACCATCATAACCGACAATGTGAACTGTGTGCTGCACAGCAAGTTAAGGCAGGCACGGCGACTTGCACGTGAGCTGGTTTATACAGATAGAGTAGACTTGCGCAGCACTTACCGCACTCTCTCTTTCCCGTACATTTCTACACCTGTGCACCATGTCTAGACATAGCCATGAAGGCCAGAGGTGAGGTAGGGCGCAGGTGGCTGGCGCGGCCAGACCCGCACCTAGGCGTACCAAGGCACCTCCTGATTTACAACAAACTATTGACCTGGATTTTTACAGACAACAGCAGCGACACTCCAACAGGACGAGGATGATCACTTGACAAGCATGCTTACAATCTGTATAGTCAGCGGGGGCGCTAGCTCATCTACCGACAGAGAACCAGGTGCCAGTGAACTGCCAGCGCACATTAGACAGCGGCGTCTACATTGCGCAAGCACAAACGGCACTTTTATGTGTGACACACAACCTCTGGGTTCCGCAGCGCTCAGCAGAGTACAATTACGGCAACTCAGACCTCACATCTGTAAGAATGCTACAGATAAAGGCATCACTTCTACCTGACTTGCTGTCGTCTGATAATTTCAAAATACTCACTCTGAGAACCGGATTAAATAAAATGTTGGAAATCCTCCAAATGTAAGTCTTCTAGCTCGTCATAATAAATTCGAGGTCGATAGTGCGGTTAAGTCCCCCAGTGTCGGCTTTGACATACAAAGCCACAGACAGACCCTAGACACTACGACTTTCTGGGCCGGTCCCGAATAGAATAAAGAGTTGGACGCCAGTTGAGAGGATATTGCATTATGTACAGAAGGTTTAGGGAACAACAAAGAACAAGTTAGCAGCCGGAGTAGGAGGCGACCGGCGCTGTGGGTGCAGAGTCTCGAGTAAGAGTGAAGCCGTCTTCATAGCCTCCTGCGCGAGGGAATGTCTTATTTGGCCTTGACGTTGATTGGCTAGTTTGCACAGCCATGAATGATCCCGAACCAGACAACGAGTGCAGGCACAGGCAAAAGGTACAGCGTGGAAAAAGCGCCCAAATTGGGCTCGTCCGAGTCTCAATCTCTGTTCCATTTCCCATGCACCTGTCGACTGCTCCAGACAGGCAACCATCTGACGACGGGACTGTGCGCAGCGGCTGACAGAGAAAATCTGCTCGTCTACGCGTGTTACTCAAAACCAGGCCCTATTTTATGTGCTGGTGTACACCAGAGGGCAGATTTCCCAATAAAATAAGCTACGCATCTACTGACATCTGGAGTTATGGTCTCCAGGCCAGTTCCGCAAGCGGAATCGACTGACTGCTGCAAAAGAGCTGTCTACTTTTGCACAGATGGCATGCATGCACGTCTGTGAATAATTCGGGCAAGGTGTGGTGATATGGGTTGAACTACGGTGTTTTGTCGAGTACTTTCCTGAAGGCGTATACGACCGAATATTCTCAAGTGATTGTTGGAAATCGAGGGCCTGTAAGAGCAGGAGGGGCGTGTGTATGTCGGTCTCTAGGCTTGGATTCGCCGAAACCTGCGTGTCGGCTCCGCAGATGGTTTACGAGGTCTATGCATGATGTTCATTTTCGACCGCGATAGGGGTAAATTGAGACTGGGTTAGCAGAGCAGGCGACGTCCAATATTCCCTAGTGCGCAGACATATTTCTGGCGACTTATGTACACAGGACATCAAAATGCTCTCAGCGAGACTGCCTCAGTCGCCTCAACGCCCTCCGTTTAATCTTTAAACCACCTAACACAGTCAGTGTTAAGAACCGCAATGCGATCACTGCTTGACGGTGTCCTGAGTTGCTTTCATACCTCCAACACCCAGTCCTGGCTTTGGTGGCGCGGCTGCGACACCTGGTTGAGAGGGTCATTTCCAAATTTCTGATCACTCCGGCAGTCGACGCTGCCTGGTATTTATTACGAAAGATCAAACGACGCAATTACACCGGGCAGAACGCATTTTTTGGACGCTTGGCTTTGATGCTCACCAGCCGCATAGTCACCTTTATGATATGCACGCAAAAGTTGGATTTTAAAAATGTCGTCCGTTTGGCAAACTTCTACGTTGAGAGGGAGGTTAGAGAGTTTGTAACGATGACATAATTTCTCATTTTAGATTGCTTTGCGTTTTTCGCGACTAGTATCTCCTAGTTTGTCTATGCGCTTCAGCTGTTTTCTAACTTCTTCACGCAGACGTTTTCTGGTCTTTATGGGTTGGTCTTATTTTGCTCAAAACTAAAGTCGCCGCTAAATCTCCTCCTTTACGGGTTATGCATGGTAACCAGATACTTTATTAGATTTCAGAAACTAAGGTTATGAGAATAATTCGAAATCTCAGTCTCCTTAAATACGGCGTCTTGGCAAATGCCACGTCCAATTAAACGTTTCACACAAATCGTAGTCGTTTACAAGATTGTCTTTAACCTGGCACCCGAGGAAACATAATCTCCTAAACTGACAGCTGATAGAATATGGAGGTAAATTGACTCCATTGGTTACCATGTGTTAATTTATGGAACACAAAATAAATGACGTCTTGTTTGTTAGCAAATAGGAACCATCCTAAGCATCACTTTTACCGTCGTGACGGCAATCTCCTCAAAGAAATACTTATGCGCTGCAGTTGATGATGACGGAGTATTCACCGGTTTTGTTTCATTTATGTGTCTTTCATAGTTTATTTTATCAGTATCGGAGTGGTTCATTTATAAATGCCTTTAAGGCAACGGCAGGTTATGTACTTCCATCTCCTTACTAAATGTAACTGTCTTATTATTCAGAAAAGCATTTGGCGAGCATATGCGTACTGTTGATAATTTCTCATTGGGCCGTACATTTATATGCGGACGAGGTTCCATAAGCGATAAGAGCAATCGATTACTTTTCGACTTTTCATACAAACTGAATATGTGAATAGGTGGGGGAGGGAGAAGAGGAGGCGAAAAGTGACAGTGATAGTTGGGTAGCGCCGTATCACATGGGAAGGTGGAACTGGGACGAGGAGACATACATGCAGTTAATCGACACTTGCCGACGCGGAGCGCGCTAGAGGTACTTCTGCGTTCCTAGGACTGGTCTCCGTAGCCTGACGGCAGTCGCTTATGCCGTTAGTTGTAAGCGCCGACCAGTTGCTTAAGGTAGTTAGGTGGGACATTGTTTATCACACGGAAGATCTTGCTGGGGTGTACGCAATGCCGAGAATCAACCGTGTTTGCGAGGATGAAACTGTGCATGCTGTTAGTCGATTACTGCGATTACTGACATGCTTCTTCTTCTACACTGTTTCCATATACATATACTGATCTGAGGAGAATTTATCGAAAGCAAACGTACCCTCGTCTGAAAACCCGAACTCTTGGTGTTTGGGCGGTTCGTGAAACATCTTGATTAAGTCGTCGTGTCAGGTGTTCCCTTGCTGTGTCCCCTTGAAAAGAGACTCTGAAGAGCAAACTTTTCTATTCGTCAGTCAATATGGTAATTTTTATGGTCGCCCAGCAATATTTCTTGCGACAAACCTGCCAGGATACTCATTTTCGCGAAGCAGATCCTGAGGTTTTCTGAGTTCATCGTTGATGCTGTCTACTGAACAGATTTTTCTTATCACTTAAGTCAGACAGCTAGTTGATCGCTTTTTACAGGTAATTTTACTATGCGAAATGCCTACTACGAATAGTGAAACAGGAATGTTAAAAAGAGCAGAAAATTCGCAAACACATACCCTATATCTGCACACAATATGTAAACAAAATGGGTTTATAGTTATAATAGCTCAGATGAGCAATTGGCGAGCATATAAGTTATTTCGATAAATTAAAACCAGAAACAGCGCCATTGTAGCACACATTGTCGATTTCGGGCATCGCGCGATTTGCAATGTCCTACCGAACTATCCTAAGCTACTGGGCCGGTGTCTGCTAGCAGCACAGGCGAGGGCATTCAGGCTCTGAAAACCGGTCTT